CAAGTCCTTCCAAGACTCATGAATGAACTGGGGAAATAATAATGAGAAACCAGGAAATGGCACAGAAATTGAATAATTACTTTGCACAGGTCTTCACAATCGAAGACACCAATAGCATTGCAAAAATTACCAAACATGCAAGGGTCAAAGGAGGAGAAGAAATAAATACAATAACTGTTGCTAGAGAAAATATGTTCAGGAAACTAATGAGACTAAAGACAGTTAAGTCCCCTGGACTAGATGGGATGCATCATAGGATATTAAAGGAAGCAGTTTTTGCGATAGTGGATACACTGTAGTAATTTTCAAGGAATCCCTAAATTCTGGAAAAGTCCCAGAGGATTGCAAAGCTACCAGTGTAAAACCTTTATTTTAAAAGGGAAGGAGACAGAAAACAGAACTGTGCCATTAAGTTTATATTGTATATACCTATCCATCCTATTAAAATGCATTACCTAACACAACTCTCTGTATTATATCAGAGATAGTGGGAACTGCCGATACTGGAGAATCTGAGATAACAAGGTGCAGAGCTGGATGAACACAGCAGGCCAAGCAGCATCAGAGGAGCAGGAAAGCTGATGTTTCGTGTCTGGACCGTTCTTCAGAAATGGGGGAGGGGAAGGGGATTCTGAAATAAATAGAGAGATGGGGGTGGCAGATGGAAGATGGATAAAGGAGCAGATAGGTGGAGAGGAGACAGACAGGTCAAAGAGGTGGGGATGGAGCCAGTAAAGGTGAGTGTAGGTGGGGAGTTAGGGTGGGGATAGGTTAGTCCAGGGACGATGGACAGGTCACGGAGGCGGGATGAGGCTGGTAGGTAGGAGGTGGGGGTGGACCTGTCTGTCTCCTCTTATATCTTATCTACTCATTTTTTCTATTACGTTGTAAGTGATTTGTATCCTCCTCATTGTTTGCCACACTTCCAAGTTTAGTATCACCAGTAAATTTTGAAACTCTACTCAGTATTCCAAAATAAAATCCTTTATATATAGCAAAACTAGGAGTGTTCCTAACACAAGACCTAGGGGAACACCAATGTTCATGGCCTTTCAGGCTGAAAAACAGCCACTTACCAGAACTCGTTTTCTCTGCTTAATGCTTTTTTCTGATTGGACTATTCCATGAGACTCAATTTGATAAAGCAGATATTTAAAAAGTACATGGTCAAAACTCTCTTAAATCCATAGTTGACAACATCTATTGTATTTCCTTCATCAACCTTTTCTGTTACTTCTTCAAAAAATTCATTTAGCTTTGTCACGCACGAGGCCAGAATTGTAAGAGTGCACATACCTTGGATAGTTGTCAGGAGATAATTGTTTAGGAGTTAACAGAGATGGGGAAGGAAAAAGCCATTGAGGATTTTGAACATTAAATGCTCCAGAATATTCTCAGATCAGTTGCAGAGAGCACAGGTGAAACCACATCTGAAGTACTATTAGATATAATAAGAACTGTCGATGCTGGAGTCAGAGATAACAGTGTGGAGCTGGAAGAACACAGCAGGCCAGGCAGCATCAGAGGAGCAGGAAAGCTGATGTTTCGGGCCGGGACCCTTTTCTGAAGAAGGGTCCCAACCCGAAACGTCAGCTTTCCTGCTCGTCTGAAGTACTGTTAACAGTTTTAGAGTCATAGTGATATGGTCTCTTTATTTAAAAAGGATGTGAACGCATTGAAAGCAGTTCAGAAAAGGTAGCTGGGAAAGCACATTATCTCATGAAGAAAGGTTTGACAGGCTGGGCCTGCATTCATTGGAGCTGAGAATAGTAGAGATGGAATATTGAGATCTATAACATCCTGAGGGGACTTGACAGAGTTGATGCTAGAATGCTCCACCTGTGGGAGAGTCTAGCACTAGAGAACACAATTTAAAAATCAGGGAAGGCAGAAATGAGGAAACTTTTCTTTCTCTGAGGGTTCAGAGTCTTTGGAACTCTCTCAGAGAGTGATGGAGGCAGATTGATAGAAGACACTAAAGACAAAGGTAGATACAATTTTGACTAACAAGAGAGTTAAAGATTATTGGGGTAAGTGAGATTGTAGAGTTAAGGCCACAATCTGGTCACCTGTCATCTTACTGAATGTCAAGCAGACTTGAGGGTCTGAATGGCCTATCACTGTTCCTAACTGATATGTTTGCATAAGAGCCCTAGCTATTAACATAATGCTACATCTCTCTTCAAATTCTTCGTTCTACTCATAAGTTATTTACATTTTCATTCCACTCATGCACTGACACCCCATTTTCACTGTCAGGCCTTTTGAGTCACATAGAAAGACACAGTGGTGGTTTAAATAATCTGCCTGACACTGTCTTTGTTACCCTTGGAGGAAGGGCAGGGACAAATGCATCCATAGAAGATGTGAACAATACACAAAAGTGATAGGGGTGTCTTTCCCATCACCTGGGCAGTCAATTCAGATCCACAAAGGCAGCTTGCTAATTGACACCTTTACCAATTGAAAAGTAAACTCAGCAGAGGTTGGATATCTGAAATAAAATCAAAAATTTTGGAAAATCTCAGCTTGTCTGGCAGCATCTTTGGAACTATCAATCAATGCCAGTCTGTTTTGTCTGAGGATGTCATGGTCAGTGTTGTCTAAGTAAGAATGAGGATGAACCATAAGACTGAACTCAGCCAGGTTGGCTCTTGTTCTGAATGCTGACAGAATCCCAAGCGCAGGGTTGTGTATTAGTTCCTGTACTTTATAGATGAAGTTGAAGACAACAGCTTGGTTTGTATGATAGCGATCTACTGGCCTGGCCTTGTCCAAGTCAGCCTCTGTGATACCTGGTCAGACAGTATGTAGGAGACTTTGAGTCTAGTGTGTAACCTCTTGCCCATTAGGAATTCTGAAAAAGTCATGTCATTGTGTACAGAAGCGGACCATTAACAAAGCAAGCCCAGTTTGATATCTAAAACAAGGTCTTGACTGTGTGGAACCTTCCACCTTCAGCCTCCCCATTGGCTTGTGCGTATTGAGGTGAACTGTATTAGGAATTTGAAGAAGTCATTAGTGAAGTTTAGACGATTGTCTGAGATGACCATCTTGGGAATTCCAAGTGTGGCAAAATCTCTTTGAGCATAGCGATACTGACAAGGTGAAGCCATAAAATCATTTGACCTCCAGCCATTAGGAATATTAGTGACTGAAAATGAGAAAGAGATCCATCCCAAGGTATAACCATTAGCAAGAGGCTATACATGAGACCATCATGGTTCCTTATATTCTTGCATATGGTGGGTACATGTTAGACAATAGCCTTTGATGTGACAGGACACTAGATAAAGTTGGGGCACATGCCTGGCTCTTGGTAATGCCCACCTGATCCTGAAATAGGCAGTGGAGAAAGTCCAACTCTAATACAATGGGAATAATAATGCAGTCATTATAAATGGGGTTGACATCCAGAATGCTAAGATGATGATATTGCTCAATATTTGGGGTGGGTGGAATGTGTTTCAGTGCATAGGCACTGACAATAGTATTGGGCAGAAGGGAACTGTCCCAGAATAACAGGCTTCACTGTTTGGGACCAGGCTCCTGATGAATTGAATAACTCAGTCTTTGAACAAATGAGAGGGCAGGAGAAATCAGGAGAGCAGAAATGTAGACTTACAAAGCAAAAGGATGTGAAAGCATTGCAGGGCAGCTATTTGATACCCAGAGTGGGACTGGAAGGGCTATAGTGTACAAACATTTAAAAACAGCAGCAAATAGGGTCAAAGGGAGACAAAATGGTAGTGAGGCCCTCTACTTAAATGGATGTAGTATTTGGAACAAAATAAATGAATTAAAAGCACAACTGGAGGTTAATGGGTATGATGTTAGAGCCATTATGGAGACATAATGGTTACAAGGAGTGCAAAGCTGGGAACTAAATACAATGGGATATGTGCCTTTTCAAATGTACAGACAGGGAGGAAAGGGTAATGAGGTAGCATTGTAAGTACAAAATGGAATAAGTATAATGGCAAGAAATGATCTTGGATTGCAAGATATAAAACCCGTATAAGGAAAGAAATAATAATATGGAGAAGACACTGTTGGGAGTAATCTATACACCATCCAATAATAAGGAGATATGGAGGAGGTGATAGCCAAATGGTATCTTCTGCAGACGAGTAATCCAGACACCCAGGTAAATTAGCCTCTCTGCTCCTATGATGCTGCTTGGCCTGCTGTGTTCATCCAGCCCTGCACCTTGTTGTCTCGGATTCTCCAGCGTCTGCAGTTCCTACTAACCCAGGTAATGTTCTTGGATTTGGATTTGGATCCACCACAGCAGATGGTAGACTTTGAATTCAGTAAAAATCTAAGTAAAAGTCCATCTGATTCACTAATGCCCTGTCGGGAAGGAAACTGGCATCCTTCTCTGGCCTGTATGTAACTCCAGACCCACAACAATGTGATTGACTCTTAACTGCTGCCTGAAATAGCTGAGCAAGCCATTCAGTTGTATCAACCACTACAAAGGAAGGATTGAAACCAGATGAAACCTGACATCTCCTAAGACACCAGAAACAACAATGACAAACACAATCCTGTTAAACCCTGCAAAATTATCCTTACTAATTGGGAGAGCTATCTTAGAAAAACAGACTGACATTGTCATAATCATGGAATAATTCCTTACAAACAATGTCCCAGACAACACCATCACCATCCTGGCTATGTCTTGCCCCAGTAGAAGGACAGACTCAGCAGAAATGGCAGAACAATGGTATACAATGGAAGGGAGTTGCCCTAGAAGGTGTCAACAATAGTTCTGTCAAGCACCACTTGCTTAGGAACAACCTACTCACTGATGCCAGTTTGGATTCCAACAGGACGTCTCCACCCCTGACAACATTACAGCGTTGGTTCAAACATAGACAAGAGAGCTGAATTAAAGAGGTCAAGTGCCATATTTGAACAAGTGCGGTATCAAGGAACCCTAGCTAAACTGGAATCAGTGGGAAACAGGGTAAAAATTCCACTGGTTGGATTCATACCTGAGATAAAGGCAGATTGTTGGGAGATCCTCAGGGGATTTTTCTTAGGTCCAGTCATCTTCAACTGCTTTATCAATGACCTTCCCTCCATTATAAGGTTGCTTGGGAGAGCACACTTGAAAAAATACCTATAGTAATAAAATCACAGTAACTATCAGTACCATGACAGCTGACAAGAAGTGCACAGAAAGGCTTACTTCACCTGAGCTCCTGAACGTCACAGGTAGCCTTGACTAAAGTGCACACCGGAAAAAATAGCATCACCAACTCATTCAATACTGAATCACACCTCCAGACTTGCTCAAAAGCCAGAAAAGAATCAGGTCAGCATGTTACAATCAGCAGCTATGCCAATGATGTTTTAAAGAAGATAAGGGTTAGGGTTGATGAAGAAACTGCTAACTATGGAGAATTATTTAAGTTTTTGATTCATACTTCAAGTTTCAAATGAGGACTCATAGACCAGGAAAAAATTGGCACAGGCATCCAGGGCTGTGAGGCAATTTTTTATTCCTTAGGTAATTCTTTCCATCAGGCAACAGTTAAGTGTGGAGATGGGAGGACCCCTGGTGAACCTACAACAAAGTAGAGCTGAAAGGCAGAAGGCACAGTCATTATCATTAATTGATGTCTGCATTATGATGGAAAAGAATATAAGGACATAAGAATTAGAAGCAGGAATAGGCACTTCAGCCCCTGAACCTGCTCCGCCATTTAACACAATCATGACTGATCTCATCTTAAACTCAACTCCACTTTTCTGCTTGCTCTCAACAATTCTTCAACTCATTACTAACTAAAAATCTGTCCTTCTCCTCCAAAAACTACTCAGTATCCCAGCATCCATCTGGGATAGTGAATTCCACAGCTTCACGACACTTTGAGAGAAATAATTTCTCCTCATCTGTTTTCAGTCTGCTACTCCTTATTTTAAAACTATGACCTCTCATTCTAGATTATCCCACATGAGGAAACATCCTTTCTGGTGTCTACTTTGTCAATTCCTTTAGCATCTTATAAACCTCAATTAGGTCTCTTTTCCTCCTCTAAACTACAGAGAGTATTGGGCTAAACTGCTCAATCTCTCCTCATAAGACAAGCCCCTTATCTCTGGAATTAATTTACAGAATCTCCTCTGAACTGCATCCAATACAACTATATCCCTCCTCAAGCAAGAGGACTAAAATTGTATGCAATACACCACATCCAATCTCATTAATGCCTTGTACAGTTGCAGCGACACTTCTCTACTTTCATACTTTATTCCTTTAGCAATAAATGACAAAATTCCATTTGTCTTCCTTACTACCTGCTGTTTATGAAACTGGTTTTCTGTGATTGGTGCACAAGGACAGCCAAATCCCTCTGCATCATAGCACTCTGAAGTTTCTCTCCATTTAGAAAATAAGTTGCTTTTCTATTCCTCCGACCAAAACAGATAATCTCACACTTATCCATGTTAAACTTCATCTGCCTAATTTTGGCACATTCATTGAATATATCCACATTGATTTATAAATTTCTTATTTCTTTATTGCAACTTACTTTCCACCAATTTTAGTGACATCTGCAAATTTGGTTATAGTCCTTTCTATCCCAGCATCCAAGTAAAACATCACATTGCCATCAAGCCTGGCCAGTCATTGATGTTCAGTGCCATATCACCCTCAGGGGTCAGCATTTGCAAATGCTGCTATCAACTCTAACTGAAAAATTGTGACCTCATCCAGCCACCACAATAGTTTCTGGTGCACCAGGGAATACTTGGGAAATCCTAACCATTGGATTCTGAAGCCTCATACAAAATAAATTTTATAACAGCAATTTTATTTAAAAGGCATCTGGATGGGTATATGAATAGAAAGGATTTAGAGGGATATGGGCCAAATGTTGGCAAATGGGACTAGATTTAAATAGGGTATCTGATCGGCATAGACGAGCTAGACCAAAGGGTCTGTTTCCGTGCTGTATATCTGTGTCAATTACTCTAACTTTGAATGTTAATGACCACAAGACACATTTTAAGTTGGGTCAAAAGTCACATGCCACTTCACCTGTCGAAGGGGCAGCACTCCGAAAGCTTATGATTTCAAATAAATTTGTTGGACCATAACCTGGTGTTGTGTGACTTTTGACCTTGTCCACCCCAGTCCAACGCTGGCACCTCCACATCATTTTAAATTGGACACAAGCGGGGAATCTCCATGCTTTCAAATTGGTTCTCACCTTTGCTTTCACATCTTGGTTGAAGCCTGAGCTATTTTCAACTATCCACCATTCAACTCCATGGCCCAAAAGGAAGCTACTGAAAACACAAGGCCAGATCATTGCCATTCTTAGTTATAACGTAAGAGAAATGACCAAAATCCTTTGTCATCCACAATCAGGAGTCCTCCATGCTGAACCGTAGTCTGTAAAGACTTGTGTTTTACCTGAACATTGAAGAGCTAAACACGTATGACAGCCCAACCAAGTTAAAAAGGGAATTTCTAGAACTACTCACATGACTAGGGAAGGAGCCAACACTTTATCATTCCACCCTAAATCCAACCATGAAGCCAATGCATCTATTCATTCGATGAAAAGTTCCACACCCTCTTACATAAGGTCAGAAAGAAGATTGAAGCCATTCTGCAACTGGAGGCCATGTTACCAGTCATCCATCTCACTTCTAGTTGCTCCAGCATGATGCCTGTATCCAAGTCTAATTGTTCTTTATGCATTTGTGTCAACCTCACTTAGCTCAACAAAGCTGTGAAATGGGAAATTCACCATTGATGAATGCTTGCTGAAGCACACAGAGAGCTCAGTCTTCACAAAATTAGATATATTACCAACTTTGACAGCTCCTGTTAGATGCAGAATCAAAACAAACAGTACTCCCTTCAGAGGATATTGTTTTGACTACTGTTTGGGCTGGTATCAGCAGCCAAGGTCTTCCAATGTACCATGACTTTCATTTGACAGGTCCGCGATGGAATCATACACCACATGGATAATATTCTCATTCATGGCTCCACAACAGTGGATATTGACACAAAAGTATGAACAATGCCAAGACATTTTATAGATTGTGGGTCTAACACTTAACCATAAATATGAGATTTCCAAGCCTACCATGAACTTCTTTGGCAATATTTTTGATGCATCTGGATCAAGGCAGATCCTCAAATCACAGTTGCCATCAAGAGTTTTTCACCATCCTCTCATTGAATTCCAGCTCAAACATAAGCATAGTTAACCAGCTGGCAAGTCCCAAACCAATTTGGCACACATCAATCAACTGGCACAGCAGCTCCAGAAATAGAATGAGGCTTGGTACTGGAGCAGGCACCAATAACAGGTCTTTAAAATGATTAAGAACATATCTATCCTCTATGATATGAAACTGTCAACCATTTTTGCAGACAATGCATCCTTCATTATCACAAGATTTTGTTCCAACTCCAATGTGATGGCTTCCAACGATTTGTCTACTAGCCTCTAGGTCAGCTATGGAGCAAAGATACACAGTCATCTGGAAAGAAGCCCTTGTAGTCACCTGGGCATGCAAAAGGCTCAGGCCTCAAAATTACATTGCAGGAAGATCAAAAGCCATTGGTGACCTTCCTTAACATCAAAGAGCTGGAAAAGATGCTACCTTGAATCCAGTAGCTCCAATTATGTCTTATGTGTTTTGCCATCACCAAGGACATTTTCTAAGACAAGCTCTAGACCAGACCTGATGCTTGATCTACATTCCTGTGAGGATGCCTGAACAGATTTGTGTCTACTTTGTTGAGGAAATGGAGTCCTATATTTCCTTGTTAAACATATTCCTCATTGCAACCAGTCAGAAGCTGGAAGAGCTTTGTACAGCTGATGCAAAACACACACATACCTGAAGTACTATGTCTTGGGACAGCTTACATACGTTCTCACTAATTGCATTCTAAAACACTTGGCTCTATTCACCCTGTGCTAGTTTGCCTGTAGCTTGGGTAGCAATCCCAAGATAATTACCTTGGAGATTCCCCTTTTAAATTTAGCTGATATTTGTTCAAAATCTTTTAGCAGAACCTTCTTTCTAATTCTGCCAATGCCATTGGTACCAGCATGGATGGTAACAACTGAATCCCTCCCATCTCAATCCAAGTTCCTCTCCAACCCTGAGAAAATCTGCTTAACTCTGGTACTGAACAGGCATCAAAGACTTGGGACTCATGCACATAGCAATAGAGAACTGTATATATTCCCTCGAATTGTACTATCCCTTACCGATATTTTGTATTACCTCTGCCCACTGATTGGTTCCCTGTATCATGGTGCTGTGGTCCGTTTACTCATCCTCAGTCCCTACTCTCATAAATATAGGTTGCAACAATCTTGTAACTGTTATACAGGTCAGGGGCTGGGGCACCTCAAATGCTACCCCATACTTCCCTCACCTGCAGTCCTGGCCTCAGCATGGACAACTTTTGGCCTCAGTGCAGACACGGCATGGCATCCGCAGTGTTTGGCATGGCATAGTGTCTTCTTGGTCTGGCATGCTGGTCCCGTGCTGGGCATGGCGATCTTTCAGCAGCTCAATGTGGCAGTCTTTTGGCCCAGCGTGGCATCCCCTCGGCCTGATGTGATGATCTCCCAGTCCAACTGGCTGTTTCCCGGCCTGGCATCTCTCACAGCTCAATGTGGTGGTGTCCCAACGGCATTTGGTGGTCTTTCAGCCCACTGTGGCCTCAGTTTCCAGCCTCGAGGTGATTCAAGGTCCAGCAGAGACTGGAGGCAAGGTGCTCACATGAACTAGGTTGGAACAGATTGTTATTCTGAACTTTATATTCTCTATTTTTCTAATTTATTCCTATGATCTGTATTGCTGAACTTTTTGTTTCTTCTTTTTTCTAATTTTCTTTTCCTAAGAACTTGGACTGAAGAATCTGTACCTAGATACCTTGTACCTAAAATGGTACCATAAGTGGTGACTTGTAAACTGTTCACTATACTCATTTGAGTACATGTGACAATAAAGGTAATTCAATTTAGTCACACCCTCCTGTACCTAATTGCAAGGTGAAAAGGTGATGTGGGGAGGCATGGGATCATTGTAATAATGACGCTGCACGTGCTTTAATTTTTTCTTTGATCTGACTGGGGTTTCCACTTTTGCACCTTGCGATTCATTGGCAAGAAAACAATAGGCTAACGAGCCCCAGAAATGACAAACCCCAGCTGCCATTCCAATGTTGTTTGTTTTACAAAACACTTAAACAATGTCACCCACCAGCAATGCACTAATCCCAGTGCCAAAATAAAACAGTCTGCTAAATTCCTGCATACATGTGACTACACTTGCTCTCAATGAAAATTCAGGTCTGCTGATTGTGGTATGTGTGAGCATGTGAAAGTAAAAGATAGTGTATCTCATGGCCTTTACTAGGTAAATGCATATTCACTCCAATCGATACATTTCAGAATGTTTACATGCTTGGTGAATTGTACTTGCATTTCATAACATCTTGCATTGAAATATGTCAGTCGTTGTGGCAGGAATCTTTTATGTGGGTCATGGAGGCCGAGGCATTTCCATAGCTGCAGCTGCTCAAAAGATGCAGTCCAAGTAATCAGAGGTGCTCATACCTTTGCCTGCCTTTTCACACTCTTCATTTTGTGGATTTGCAATGGGTCTCATACAAGATTTTTACACCTTTTTTAAAAAAAAATTCATGAGATGTGGGTGTCGCTGGCTGTGCCAGCATTTATTACCTTCCAACTCACCCTGGAGAAGGTGGCCATGAGCTACCTGCTTGAGCTGCTGCAGTCCCTGTGCCCTTAGGGAGAGAGCGCCAGGTGGAC